AATGAAACTTTTCCGACAGTTTTGGCGTTGTCTGTCAGCATACAAAACTGAAGAGACGTACGAACAAGTCTTACGACTATTTTTCAGTAACTTGGCTAGAGGACCAATAAACGGACATACTCGAATCAGTAATACCGGTTTGGATGATGATTGAACCGCTGATGTTTTTTTAGTATGCTTTCGTTTTTTTTCCTCAACGGTTTATTTTAAATTTATCTTTTTCTGTTATTCAAGTGCCATTGCATGTGTTACTAATCAAAAACATGTTGATTTCGAAGGCTAAACATTCTTTCAAGGAAAGGCTTCGTTTTTTCGCGAAAGTTTTCTAGAAAACCCTATGGGAGGTTTCTAGAAGTCTTAGAATGAAGTCGAAAGTATCTCCATCGAATTCCTCATGTTTTTTAACCTACTTGAGGTTAATTTTGTTGTATTTGAATTGAAAATGAAAAGTTAATCAAAGATGACCTGTCCGATTTTCTCTTAGTTCCAGTAAAAGTCAATTTTCTCAGCAATAAAAAGGAATTTAAAAAAACCTCTCCATATTTCTGAAGCTTAAATTATGGTCGTTCTAACGACGTATAAATCAAAGGTATAGCACTTCACCTGAAAAAGTAGATAGATTTGCAATATCAGTCATTCAATTCTCACACAGGTCGACTCAGACGTTCATTGGCAGACAAGAGTCTACCTTTAAAAAGAATTGAAATCCATTTTCTAAATCAGTTTTCAGTGCTGATTCAGAAAAAATTAGTTTAAATCGTCTATATTGCAAAATAACTTCAGAGGAATGAGTTTCATGATATAGGTCCATTTTTTCAATTTTTGACGTCTTCACTGTATCTTGAGTTTTTCTCTATGAAGGAACAGGTTATGAACGTCGAAAAGATGATATTCGTGATCACCACCATAAGACGTATCAGAATATGTATAAAAAAAGTCAACAAAAACATTGCTTGAATTTTGCTTTAGCTGCACCTTACTTTTATCGACACTTCAAAAAACAAAACTAGAAATTAACAAGGTTACATAAGTCACATACCAGCACCTCTGCTCTGATTTTGATTGAATTGATATTATGCAATCAATATCTGCATCAACTACACAGAACTTATTGCCATCTGATAAGATCCTAAAGCAATATCAAAACACATGCCATAGCACGCTTGGTTGTGTTAGTTTAACTACAATATTCATAACAATTTATACCGCTGTATACTCCTTTTAAGCTACATTTTCATGTTGGTGGTCGTTGCCTTCTATATTGGAAATTTGATTTTGAACATATA